TAGAGAGAGGAATACACTATTCTTTTATCAGATCAGGCAGGCAGGTAAGGCTCGTTCTCTGGCAGGATTTGTTCACTGCTTTCTGATGTGCTGAGTTGACACTGTGATCCAGTCTTCTTCGTTTCAATAATAAGCTGTTTAGTTTGCCACAAAGATTTTTCTCTGAAGGGCCATTCCCTTTAGGAAAGAAACCTTCCCCCTCCCACTACTCTGCTGCAATTTCTCTACTTAATGTAGTAAGATAAAATCGTAGAACCGATCTGGACCAAGAAAAATACAGACTGAATATCCAGGCTTACTACTGATTTAAAGAGAGTCAACAAAAGTTATGCATTGGGTTATTATTTGTTGCTTATTTGGTGGCTAGACTCTGGTGGCAATAGGGTGTAAAAGATTAATTTCGGCAAGGCTAGCCTGTCATGCATGACAGACTGGTGGGAATCTCCCTTTCTACACAAGTATTAAAAGTTATTGAGCCATGTCCTCTTTTGCCCCCAGGCACCCTCTGGTAAAACAGACTCCACACCCCAAGTGCCTCAAATAGATGCCTACAGTATGTCCAGTAAGTAACTTAATACTGCTGGAGGTGGACGAAACTGAACAGAGTATAGTTGTTGGCCCATTTCTTTAATGGCTCTGTAGAACAGAGCAATTTAGCAAGTACACCTCTGCTCAAGACTACATTGCAGACTGTGTAACAGCTCCAGATCCTCCTCCTTTCCAATTACTCACGTTCTAGCAATCTTGTTCTCCTTTAAAAACCAGTAATCTGCACACCTATTTACAACAGGGCCAGTTCTACTATGGTGTACACTGAGGTGGCTACCACAGCTGGTAGATGGGGGCTGTCATAAAATGGCAACGAATTCTTCATTATTCAGATTGTTGCTGTATTTTTATTGCCAGGAAGTGGGAGAGGTGACTTCTTATCTACCAAAGTAATTTAGCTGTCTTTGGGCACAGAGTATCTTGACTTGAGAGGGTGCCCTTTCCTGCTTTGTCCAAGGCAACAAAATACCTTGGGTTGTTCCTGATTTACTTATTGATGCTATAAAGGAACAGCTTGTGTGGGTTCCGTTTCCTTACTTGGTAATTTAGCTATAAGAGGAAATCATGGACAGTTCACTTTCGTCTTTGAATGGTGGACAGCCACCACCATTCTTTCAAAGATGACCAATATCTTTGTACTTAGAGGTCTCTCATCTTTTCTAAATAGCAATTTGGAGCCTGGGAGGTCATTTTGACACATAACCTAACCAGCTCATACGAAACTAAACATTGCACAGATGGGTATTCACTTTCACTGGGTCTGGATATATTTGCATATGTGTGTCTGTCTGTGTTGGGGCAAGGGCTGATTCCCTCCATGGGGCAAGGGCTGATTCCCTCCAACTTTTCCTTGACTGTGACCCACACAGTCTGGTGGGAGATTCCATTATTCTTTCAAACAGAAAGGTATCAGACCTGCAAATAGAAACATATGTTTCATATAAGACGTAGCTTGGCCCTCAAAGATAATTGTGGTCCAGGATGCAAAATCTAAAGAGGCCTATGAACACTATGTTGGAATATAATGTTACTCTCCTTCACCAGTGACACTAGGACCAAAGCTTTTACTGTACTTTACTGCCAGGTGTTTGAAATGATTTGTTGCACAAATATGACCTATAAGCTGCCAGCTTCCTATCCCTGAAGTAAAGTGCTGTTTATTCCTTAAAACTGAAAGGCCACACACACAACCTTGAGTTTCTGGGAGGAGAGGCAGGCAAAAAAGTACATCATAAAATAAAATAAAAACACAGCTAGCCTGCAAAGAAAGGCTACACCTGGCTATTACACATACAAAAATTGTACTTTGTATCTTGAATCTAAGAGACTAAGAGTGATCCTGAAATAAAAGTATTGCCCGCTGCTGTTTTCCTTGGGTGAATGTATTTCTTCTAGCTGTAGCAAACATAAATAAATAAAAACCTGAGACTTGGATGCTGTTAAGCAAAGCAAAGACGTGAGAAACTGTGTTGATGTAACCAGCTGCGCTGGTGATAAGATTCTGTTGTGAATATACATATTTACACTTTCCTTCTTTCTTTTGAATAGATGATGGGACGGCACTATACACCAGATAGTCTTCAATCACAACTCTCATTATAATCTCCTGAAAGAAAGAGCAGCAATCCCTGCCTGGTGCTTTAAAAACCAAATGTTGGTCCCCTGATTACTGTTTGAGCCATATAAGCTCAGACTGAGCACGTCCTGGCTTCTGAGTACAGGATACAAATCCTACTCACTCTTCCTGGTCTTCGTCCCAAACAGGAAGCTGTTCCTTCCTGTCCTCCTATGGTGCCTGTTCACCCGGGGCCTTCTTGGCTTGGTCCTTAAAGAAGAACATGACACTCTGTTCCCCACTGACTAATTCTAACCATGTATGGAGGTAAGGTAGTACTGTAGGGAGCAGGTTGGACCCCTGCCATGGGTTTGACTCCTTATCACATGGTTTGACTCCTTCCCACAGGGAAAAGGTGGTGACTGACGCAGCACTAAACATTAGATTCGGGAGGATGAAGATCGCCAAACAGAAGAACATTCATCATCCAAAAGGAAGGCATTTTTGCACAAGTTGTTACTTAACTCCCTGCCACCCCCACTTAGGGAGTTCCAGATGCTGACTTTCCCAGCATCTCACATTGGCACCTGCTCACCATTTCTGCTTCCATCGTTGCCAGAGATGAAACATGCACAGCCATGCAGGCATAGGATGTAGGCATTTGTGAGCATGGCTTGTGTGCCAGTCACTGAACATTGTCTAGTAATGTCACAGGGAATCTCACCAATACTCCTGGTTTTTCAAGCACACAACATGTAAGCCCATTCTTAAAAATGATAATTAAAAATGATAATACAATTATATCAAAGTTCAGGTAAGTCCTCCAACAACCTGAACAGGGCTATTAATAATAAGGCATTTTGGAGGTCACCAATTCACAGTGTCACTCATGTCAGAAGGGACTTGGCAGCATGTAATAACAACTCCTACCAGTCTGTCTCTCCCCCCCCAATCAGAAAATGTGGCTAACTAGAAAAACTGTAGACACATCTTTAGTAGAGATGAGCATGACCTGGAAAAACAATGAGTTGGGGTGGTTTGTGGTTTGTGATTACCTGCTACCCATGAATCATGAACCACCCCCAAACCCCAGAAAAATGAACTGGTTTGCACACACCTACCAGAAGGGAAGCCAGTTGCTGTCTCTGAAAAGGGTGGTAGCAAAGGAGGAAGAAGAGGAGGAAACGGCAGGGAGGTGATGGGGCAGTGGGGTGAGGGCATCAGTTTTG